GGGCCTGGGAGGGGGGTCCGGATGCCCGGTGCTCCGGGGTCACGGGCCCCAGATGGCCCTCCGGGGTCATCGGGTCACGGGCGCCGGCAGGCGGCGGCGGCGGCGGCGGCGGCGGCGACGGCGGCAGAGACATGAGGATGTAAAGAGAGGGGACCAGGGCTCCAACCTGGCCTGAATGCGGACCCCCGGGCTTTCCCCTGGCTTACTTACTGGTCACTCACTACCCGAGCCCCGGTTGGAGCAATAAAAGTACAGTTCCAGAAGAAAAGTACACATAGTTACACTCTCTCCTTCCCCCGACACACCCTTTCCTGAGCTCTCTACTGTCTGAACCTGGTCAGTAGGGTACGAAGGGCACCCCGACGTCACCAGTGCTTATCCTCAGACTATCTGGTCTGCTCAACTGCTCACAGATGCTTGCCAGATGTTGAGACTGCTAGTAGCCCTAGCATCCGACCCACGGAATACCAGTCTTAACTCTTAACTCATCGCCTTGGCCCACTTCTATTTTTTTTAAAAAAAAAAAAAAGTCTTCAATTTACTGAGTTTCAGTGGGTAAAAACACACCAAAGTACAGAATATAAACTACAGAATGAGCCTAGCTTAGTAGGTATTGGTGAGAATAAACCAAACTCTTAAAGTTGATGAATGTTTTGTTATTAATAAAGGGAGTACTCCTTTGCCTTTATTAGGCGCTTGCTATCTATCCTTTGCTCTCCTTTATTTTTTATTTTTGGTTTTGCCAGTGCTGCCTTCCAGGTGAGAATGGTTATTTAATATTGCTTTCTTTTCTCCTTGCCTTTTTTAAAGTGAGTCATTGGTTATTGCCTTGTTTAGAGTGAGTCATTGGTTAGTTGGGGGTGTTTTCAAGTATTCTTTACAACTTTCGCATTTAGTCATTCCTGAACTTGTGTTTATAGGTGTCTCTTTAAATTACAGAATGTTAGATATGAGGATACAATAGAGATCTTGTCATACCAATTCTTTTAATCCAAGGACTCTTTTTATTATGTTTTCATCCGTGGACCCCGTATCTTGAAAGATTTTGTCACTTAAATGAAATCACATACATCACTGTCATGGGTGTGATGCTAATAAGCAATAAAGTTAAATAAGTATACAAACACTAGGCAGTGTTCGCTGGAAAAGCTGGCTTAATTTTGGCTGTCACTCTTCTAATCCAAGGTTGATCACATGCTGGAGAATTAAATCAGATATTGTAAAAAACAGATAAGTAACTCTGCTAACAGTATAAGTTCCACCAATCACATCCTAGAAATTTCTATGATGTCGTCAATAGCAAATTAGAATTTCTGATCAGTGTGTGATAACCAGTGTTAACCCCCAGAGTTGATTTAATGCCTGCCAAAAGTAAAGAAACTTGACATTTTATCTAATTGCAATTTCCAGAAAGCTTTCTGAAATATTGTAAAAAGCTTGTGGACCTCTTCCTTTCTTTCCTCTAGTTTAAAGCTAATCTCTTACCTCTGCTCTGAATCTCTTCCTGTCCCCCTTTTTGGAGGGTGTTGATGACTCCATCAGTTCTTCTTAGGTCAGTCATCCTCTCTCTGTGTCTTCTTTAAACTCTTCCTTTCTCTTGGCTGTTTCTTTTCCACCAGTAAGCTTCTCTTTTTAGTGAAGCACATCCATAGACTCTGTGTTTCTGTGTGTTTACCTCTCCATCTCTCTTTCCTTCTCTGACAAATATCTAGAAAAAATAATGTTGACTTTGCAGTATCCTCTTGCTCCACTCCCATTCTCCCTTCTAAATTACTCTCAAGTATGTTGCCTCCTTTCTATCCCCTTGCTGTCGCCTTGGTTAAGGCATGTTTTCTTGCCTGAATTTCTTATCCTTTTAATTCTTCCTCAGGACTAGCTCAAAAATCCAGTCTTCCTGCCTCTGACATACCTCTGATCAGAATGAACTTTCTTCCGCTCAAGTCTGAGTGATGCTGAAAACTAGTTAGTGGCTCCAAGTTTATTTGCCTACCCCTAAACTGTCCAAAATGTTTACCAATGTTCAACAGGTTACCCCACCCTTCTAGTAGTCTGATAAAAAGAGAAACCGTCTGATAGGAACGCTTTCAAACTATTTTTTCAAGATGCATTATTTAAACAAAACAAAACGAAAACTACCATACTTTACCTCTTTCCTTCATTTTTTTTTAAAACCAAAGATTTATTTCCCATTGCACTACAGGAGGTCACGGGGATAAAGAGGACAGGAAAAGAAGACCTAAATGAAGCAACCAGTTCAATAGGAAGAACATGGTTTCGAGGTAAGAATCTTTGGATACAAATAGTTCCTGCTCTGTTGTATCCTGTTTATACTGATGTGATTCTGTTTAATGAAGTATAATTGATATATACTATTAGGTTAATTTTAGGTATACAGTGTAATGATTCAATATTTGCATATATTGCAAAATGATCACCACATTAAGTCTAGTTAACATGTCACCATACGTAGTTTCGTTTTTTCTAATGCTTAGAACTTTTAAGACTTACTCTCTTAGCTACTTTGAAATATGCAATACAATATTATTAACTATAGTTCCTCTTCCTCCTTCCCAAAGCTAGCTTTCATCTGTGTTCTTGATTTAATCAATACCATTTCATTTGAGAACTGGTCTCACAAGTTTTCTTCTTTATTTCTACCTACAATTTATACCTCTTCACTGTTTGCTCTACCTATAAATTCAAATGCTTGTTATTTAAAGCACCTTCTTTAATTTACTACATAATTTCTCTTCTCCCTTAACCATCAAACTTTCTGAAGGAACAGTCTATGGTTATTGTTCCCATTTTTTTTGCCCCGACTTGTTATTGGTTATGTAAACACTTGAAAACCGTCTTCTCCTATTACTTTACTTAAATCATTCTTTCAAATGTCAGTCATATCCTAAATTAGCAAATCTAATGTCTTTATCTTAACTTTATCCTTCTTGACTGTGCAGCATAGTTGAAATATTTGCTTTCTTAAAATCTTCTCTTTATGGTTTCCATGCCACTACCTCCTTCTGGTTCTCTTCTTTCTTTTTCTCTGCATCTCTAAGAGGAGTTAAGAGGAGTCCTCTTGCTTTTTTAAACCCCTTATATGAAAATGCTTTTCAGGATTCTCTGATTTGCTTGCTTTTTTCTCTTGGGAAACCTACATTATGAGTTGGCTTCGACTATCACACTGGATCCATGCACGTAGTAACCTAGATTCCTCTCATGTGCTCCAGACCTCTTTTATATACCTTCATTAAGTTATCTCTTGGTCCCTTGGACTCAACATGTTGGAAACCGGTTTTATTTTTCTTCCAAACCCATTCATCCTGTTGTGTTTACCATTTAGGTCATTGACACCACTATCCTGCAAGTTGGTCCTGCTCATCTTTGACTCATCTTTTTTCTACTCTCCCCGATCTAAAAGTATTGGTTTTCAATAGGGGGTGTGTTCACAAGATGAGTCATTGGAGAGTCAGAACAAATTACTAAAATGTCTATTTATAGTTAATCCCTGTTAAAAATTATTAAAGAAAACCATTTAGGTGAGCCAAACAAACTTTATTTAACACTTATTGAAGCGGATAGTCTCCTTTCAGAGAACTGCAAAATAGGTGGAAGGCAGGAAGCTTTTATAGCATTAAAAATAAATAACAAGGAAGAGAAAAATAGAAAATATCTGATTGGATGGGGCCACTTAGTTGACCCTATTTGCGATGAGAAGAGACAGGAAATAAGTATAGAGCCCAGAGTTGGCTTGGCGTTTGGGGATTGATTGACTGGATATACTGCATTTCTGGTCAAGTGGAGCATTTATAAGGACAAGAAAGTTATCTAAATTTTGATTTGCTAACGTGGAACCCTGGGGCAGGAGTAGCTCATGTTGGACCTAGAAAGTTATTTTTATATTCCTAACTACAATAAAATAAGGCTTCATTAATATTTAACATAAAGACTTCCCCAGTACTCTGATTTGGTCTATGTGTAAAGTCATGTCAAGTGCACCTGGAGAAGAATTCTGAGGGGAGACCATATTTTGCCTAAAAGCCTATGGATTTACAGATTATATTATTTGCTTTCACTTAAACTCACAAAATGAAAAGTGACTTTAAAAATCCCTATGAGAAATATGAATTGAAGATAACTCTATTCATACAAGCAGTAGCAAGAAGAACATACAGAATGGACTCTTCTACTCCTAATACAAGCTCTTCATCAGTTACATCACACAGTTTTAAAAAAGGTACGTTTATATATTATATTTAAAAACATTATGTACATGACATATGCATATATGGACAACTTAAATCTGCAAAAAATCAGAAAAAAATTGGAATTATCAAGATTGTTTGAAATAAGGATTTATATCCACTCATTGTAAACCATGGATCTTGCTATAAGTAAAGAGTACTTAGAACTGGGAGTTATTACTGATATAAAGCCACCAAAATTAACTAAACATTTAGAAACTAAGCATCCAAACATGAATTAAAGCTCTGTCTTTGAGAGCAAAGAAGTTTGTGAGCATGTATGAATGTCTCAAATTACATGTATTATTTAGGTCATTAGTAGAGCAGTACATATTTTATAACTAAAAAAAGTTGGAGAGGTGCATGCTCAAACTTTTAACTGATATGAGTATACAGTCAAAAACCTAAAATCTCTTACTTGGTGAATCACCATATCCTCCTGTTCATTCTGCGTTCCTCAAAGCTCTTTTCTTCTCACAGTGTTCTGGTTTGGACTCCAATCTGACCATGTCAATACATTTCTTCTGGCTTCTATGCCTTTAATTTCTCACTTTTCAATCTCTTTTATCCTAATTGCTGCTAGAATTATTTGTCTCAGGCTTATATTTGATCTTGTCATTTCTCTGCTTAAAAATTTTGATGGCTGCCTATTGGAACAAAATGAATTCCTAACAGGTTCAAAGTTGTCTATGATTTGGCCTAAATCTCCATTTCTTCTGCTTAACTTTCATTTCATTTAACCATATTAACTATAAGCTAGGAACATTATGTATCTGTCACTTTTCTCTTACTATTCTCTGAGCTTGAGATATTTTTTATCAGTACATCGTATTCTACTTATTCTACCTTTCTTCTTTCTTTCCCCATTCCAGCTTTATTGAGGTGTAATTGACAAAATTTGTTTATATTTGTAGCGTACAATGTCTTAATTTCATATATGCATACTTTGTGAAATGATTACCACAATCAGAAAAACTTTCTCCTTTAAAGACCTGCTCCATTTTGCCTCTTTCATGAACTAAATCCTAAGGCTCCTTGTTAATATAACT